AAATTTTTTAGAAATCAGGACTGTCCCCCCAAAAGCAAGATGATCTGGTCATCTTACCCTATGCATGAATTTTGTTCACCAGATCTCCAGTGTGACTATAAAAACTTCTTGTTCTTGCAAAAGCAGATGAAATATATATATATATATATATATATATATATATATATATATATATATATATATATATATATAAAATCTCCAAGGATTCCTAGTCAACAACCAATTACTTCTCTAAACTCCCTTGATTCTATTCAACTACTTTTCCAATCAATAATAGCTTAATTATTTAATGCGCCATGCCACATGAAGTAAAAGGAGATGGTAGGCAAATATGCAGGCTGAAGTTAAGAAATATGTTGGTTCTGGAGGAAAGCAGGGCCATAGGGTTTAGAGGTCTGTCAACAGGATCAAAGATGTGCAAGTTCAATTAGCTTTTTATCCTATACAATAAAAGGCCAGGACTATAAGCTTAATGACCGGAACAACCACTTGACCAGTCACCATGAAGTGAATTGACTACCTCTTGGTCCCTGTACCCCTTGCCCTGCAGGCTCCAATCACAGCATGGCAAATGGGGAACCACGGCGAACAGGGGGGTGGTGGCAGGGCGGTACTTGGAACTGTTGAGCACTAGCGGTCAGCAGACTGCAAGCAAGCAGGAGCGAACATTGCAGGGCAGTGGTGGCGAATGTCACAGGGCGGGGAGTTTTGCAGAGTGTGATGGGGCAACGGAGGTGAGTGTTGCAGAGCTTTATGGGATGGTGGCGGTGAGCATCGCAGGGTGTTGCGGGGCGGCAGAGTGTTGGACATGGCCGTGATCACAGGCTAGGCCTAGGGACCCTACTAGTGTATGATTCCGTGCCCTAGGCCTCTGGTTATTTAATATTAGCTTCAGGTGTATAGCATAGTTGTTAGATATTTATATAACTTACTGATTCTTCTGATAAACCTAGTACCCACCTGGCACCATACATAGTTATAAAGTATTATTGACTATATTCCTTATGCTGTATTTTACATCCCTGATACTATTTTGTAACTACTGATTTTTATTTTTTAAGCCCTTCACCTTTTTCACCCAGCCTCCTTTTAAGCCCCGTTTCCATCTTGCAATCATAATCCTGCTTTCTGTATCTCTGAGTCTGTTTTGTTTCTATTTTGTTTGTTTGTTTATTTTGTTCTTTAGATTCCACTATAAGTAAAATCATATAGTTTTTGTATTTCTCTGTCTGACTTATTTCACTTACCTTAATATCCTCTAGAACCATCCATGCTATCACAAATGGTAAGATTTCATTTTTTATGGCCAAGTAATATTCCCTTGTATATACATACCACATCTTCAAGTAGCTTTAATCTGATAGCATCTGTTTGTTTTTGTTTGATTTTATCTATTTTCTGGATGTGATTATACAGGTATAGATCTTAGCCAAAATAAACTAAGATGCCTATAGGTGAATACTGTCTTTAACAGAAAGCCAAGAAGAAAGATGGTAGAACCATTCTTATCTCTTTTTTATCAGGTCTCTTTCCTAAAAGTGAAGACAATAGTCACTTAGAAGTTTTCTCCCGCATACTAGTGCCAACATTTGTGGCCTAACTCTTTTCTGAGCCCACTCTATTTTTCCCCCCCAAGACTGCTACATTTCCCATGCTTCATTTTCCTTCCACTGGCTATATTGCTGTGTGTCCTCTTTCTTCCAAACCTTGTCTATATTTCTTGCCTTTTCCTTGGCTTGCTGAAATATGTTGGTCTCACAAAAATACTGTCAATCACTTTTCTTAAAGTCATTTTAAACCTGAATATTTCCAGATGCCCTTGGTCCATAGTTCATTTATAAACTCATAAATACCCAGTTGACAGTAAAGAATAGACAGATTCAAAATCAAATTCAAATGTTGAGGAAAATTTTGCCTCATCTTATTTAGTATTTTTCTAATTTGTTAATGATGTTTTTCTTTATTTGAAATGTAAATCACAAATATTTGAAAGGCTTTTCTTCTGTATTTTATGTAATATATGGTAAGATATATCTATATTCAGAATGTTCCAAGTAATAATAACAACAAAAAATACTATAATTCAGTTATGTTGGAGAAGACTTGGAAATTCCTTGAAGAAACTCTTGAGAAGTAGTTGATGTGGAAGAAAGCATTGAATTAGGAGATGAGGTATGCATTCTAGTCCCATATGCATCATTTAATTCCTGTTAACTTTAGGTGAGTGACTCTCCTTCCCCAGGATAACAAGAATAACAACAACAATAATAATGATAATGCATGTTATTATGTTTACTATGTTCAAAGCAATGAAATAAAGGCATATATGTTCTATCCCATTTAATCTTCACACCCAACAAGATAAAAATTATTATAACCATTATTTAGGTAAGTGAAGATTAGAGAAGTTGACAAGATTGCCCAAAGTTGCACATAGCCAAAGAGCTCTCCGAGTTTTAGAATTGAAATTCAATCAGCTAGTAAGTATTAGAACCAGGATTCAATTCAGGTCCATCTGATTCCATAGATCACACTTTTAACCACTGTGAAATGCTTCTCTTTACAACATTCTATTGAGCCTTAGTTTCTGCATTCATAAACATAAGGCGGGTGGATTAATTTTTAAGGTCCCATTTAGTACAACAGGTTAAGAGAATTATATCAAAGGAATGTTTAACTCTATAGTTCTACAGTGGAAGCCAAATTAACAAATAAGAGCCAAAACCCAGATTAAGTTATTTCCCACACATCACATGGAAAGGGCCAAGTCATGCCAATGCTTTTCTTTGTGATGTTGGGAAGGAGGAATGTGTAGCATCAATAAGATTTTAAATCATGGGTCAAAAGTAGATAAAAGCCTAGCATTTCTATCAGGAAACTGAATAACTGAGAGAAATGTGTGACTTCTCGGTTCAGATCTAATATATTTGCCAAGGAAAAAGCGAGCACTTAGTTCCAAATGTGGAGAGCAGCTCTGCACAAATTGGTAACAAATAACAGGGTAGCACAAAGGCTCTGAATCTACTGAAAATTTAGTAAGCCTTGAAATTCAATGAGTAAAAGCCTTGGTAAATTAATTTCAGAGTTTTAAATAACAAATTACTACCAGGGAGTAATATTCCAGAAGAGAAATTTATGCCTTTGGTTGACATACCAAAAAGGCATGGAGCACTGGTGAGGCCAAGAGTTATTCCAGGAGTTATTCTCCCTCTACATTCTCTTCATTTAAGATCTTGTCCCTAACGTGGCTTCAACTGTCACATCTATGTGGATGACTCCCAAATCTATATCTGCAGTCGTATCTTATCACACTAAGTCCAAATCTGTATAACAGCTGCCTCTTTGGACATTTTCACACCGGACATTTTGACGCCACTTCAAACCATTAGATGTCAAACCAGATTCATCATTTTATATTCCAAGCCAGTTCCCAATAAAATGAGAAAAATGCTTTGACACATATAAAGACCAGCACAAATATAAAGTATTTTTATTTTTGTAGTCAATGTTAATAACAGCATTGTTTACCCAGGAACCTAGGCAGGAGGCATTGGAGACTTCTCCAAATAGACACTTACTAACTCAAGTAGATTCTTTTCTTATGAGATATGTTGTATCTGTTCCTTTCTGGCTATTTACAACATCATCATCTCCAGACTGATTAATCCTAAATCTTTATATCTAACCTTATGTAAATTAATGTAAATATGTAAAATACCTGGCACACAGAGGTAACCAAATAGTTTTAGATGTACTTTCAACTACAAGATATATGCCACTTAGATGTCTCTCTGGAAACTCAAACTTAGCATGTTCTGAACTGAATGAATTTCTTTCCTGGAACCAGCTTCTCATGAGTTCCCAATAGTAATTACTAGAGGCCCAGTGCACAAAATTCGTATAGTGGGGGTAGGGGTGTCTATCAGCCCAGTCTGCACCCTCTCCAATATGTGACCCCTTGGGGGATATCCCTCTCACAGTCTGGGACTACAGGCTGCTAACCGCTCGTCTGCCTGCCTGTTGATTGTCCCTAACTGCGTCTGCCTGCCAGCCTGATCACCCCCTAACTACTCCCCTGCCAGCCTGATTGCCCTCAACTGACCTCCCATGCCCGCTTGATTGCCCCCAAAAGCCCTTTCCTGCTGGCATGGTTACCCCCAATTGCCTTCCCCTGCAGTCCTGGTCACCCCCAAATGCCCCCCCTGCAAGCATGGTCCCCTACAACAGCCCTCCCTGCAGGCATGGTTGCCCCCAACTGCCCTTCCCTGAAGGCTTGGTCCCCCCAATTGCTCTCCCCTGTTGGCCAGGCATCTCCCAACTGCCCTACCCTTCAGGCCTGGTCCCCCCTAACTGCCCTCCCCTGCCAGCCTGGTCACACAAACTGCCCTCTTCTGCAGGCCTGGTCGCCCCCAACTGCCTTCCCCAGAAGGCATGGTTGTCCCCAAATGCCCTCCCTTGCCAGACTGGTCTCCTCTAACTGCCCTCCCTATTTCCTGGTTTCCCCCAACTGCCCTCCCCTGCAGGCCTTATCCACCCCAACTGCCCTCCCCTACTGGCCTTGTCACCCCTAACTGCCCTTCCTGGCTGGTCTGATCACCTACAACTGCGCTCCCCTGCCAGCCATCTTGTGGTGGCCATCTTATGACCACATAAGGGCAGCCATCTTGTGTGAGGGCATGATGGTCTATTGGGATATTACCTCTTTATTATATAAGATTATTATATAGAAGTATAAACATAGTTTATTCACTCAAGTAAAAAACCTGGGGATAAGTTTTCTTTTGCATATGTAAATAATAAATAAATAAAGCCACATTAAAGTGGAACCAGAGCTCTTGGAGCGCTGGGGCTGCCCGGAGCGGGCTCGGGAGGGAAGTCCCGAGACAAAGGAAGTGAAGCGGGAAGTGACCGGAAGTGACCAGAAGTGACCGCCGCCTCCATCGCCATTGTTGCTTGTTCCGCCTCGCTCGCCAAGCCGCGGCCGCCCGAGGACTTTGACTATGTCGGGGATCACCCTCAGCAGACTCGCCCAGGAGAGGAAAGCTTGGAGAAAAGACCACCCATTTGGTTTTGTCGCTGTCCCCACCAAAAACCCCGACGGCACGCTGAACCTCCTGGAGTGGAAGTGCGCCATCCCGGGGAAGAGCGGGACCGCGTGGGAGGGCGGCCTGTTCAAACTGCGCCTGAGCTTCAAGGAGGACTATCCGTTCTCGCCGCCCACATGCCAGTTTGTGCCGGCGCTCTTCCACCCCAACGTGTACCCTTCGGGCATCGTGTGCCTGTCCATCCTGGAGGAACACAAGGACTGGCGGCCGGCCATCACCATCAAGCAGGTCTTACTGGGAATACAGGACCTTCTAGATGAACCAAACACTGAAGATCCGGCTCAACCAGAGGCCTCCATGCTTTACGACCAGAACAGAGAGGGATATGAGAGAAGAGTTCGAGCACAAGCCAAGAAGTTCGCACTCTCATAAGCAGCGGCCTGCGGCAGCACCGAAAAGAAGGTATCGGTTGGCAAGTACTAGTTTCCAACTTATTTTTTTTTAACTAAATTTTTATTGTTCATATTATTACAAATGTTCTCTTTTTTCCCCCCACCATTGCTCTCCTCCACCAGGTTCCCACCCCACCCTCCGCCCTTTCCCCACTCCCCACTGTCCTCATCCACAGGTGCAGTTTCTGCAGATCCGGCGTCGCTCTGTACAGTGACCGCTCACCAGGGGAGGCGGGCGGCGCCATTTTCCGTCTCCGCCGCCGGCACACGGTTCTCCACCTGCTGATGCCCAGTGTTTCATTCAGGGGCTCTTCTTCCCGTCTTTTGTATGTTGTTATGTAAAACTTGCTGTTATTTTAATATTTTATTTTAATTATTTATTTCATTTTAGTATTTAATATTGATGTCAGTATTTCAACTGCTGTAAACTGATAAACGTTATACTTCACTGAGGCCCTGAGGAGCTAGTTCCCTTTGCTCGCGGGTGCGGCGTGCTTCCCCTGTCAGAGCCGCACTCCCCTCCGGCGGCTGGAAGAACAGGACAGCGGGCCATCCCCTTCCCTTGGCCTCTGTCCTTCTCTCCGCAGACCCCGGGTTGTGTTGCTATAAGCCTCAGATCCAGTCAGCCAGCCTCTTGTTTTCGCATCACTTGCTTTGTGTTTATATGGCGTTTTGTCTGTGTTGCTGCTTAGAATAAATGAACTGTTTATATAAAAATAAAATAAAATAAAATGGAACCAGAGTTGCCATGGCAGGAACTGCCTTAAATGTATTATGCCTCACATCTTTGTAATGTTAAAACAAGTTGTACAACGTTTGGACTTGGCCTAAAGCATCCACACAAGATCTGTTTGCAAAGGTAACATGCAAGTGGAATTGTGACTACTGCACTGATGGCAACCAAACTAAAAATTAAATATTCTTTAGAATTAGCATCACTATGTTATGTTATTTGTTCCAATAAAAATGCCTTCCTTCCAGTGATTTAGCTGTGTGTGTTTTTCCTTTATCATAAATACCCACCCATTGTTTTTGGCTTCTAATAGGAGCATTATTTGGGCTAGTGTCTGAATCACTTCTTCCAGAATAGCCATTATTGATCTCAAATACATGTTTGTTGCTTCCCATTTAAAAAAAAATTTACAGAGAGCCCTAACCAGATTGGCTCAGTGAATAGAGCATTTGCCTGCGGAATGAAGGGTCCCAGGTTCGATTCTGGTCAAGGGCATGTACCTTGTTTGCAGGCACCATCCCCAGTAGGGGGTATGCAGGAGGCAGCTCATTGATGTTTCTCTCTTATTGATGTTTCTAACTCTCTATCCCTCTCTCTTCCTCTCTGTAAAAAAAATCAATAAAATATATTTTTAAAAATAATTTTAAAAATTTAGAGAGAGAGACATCATTTTGTTGTTTCACTTATTTATGCATTTTTTTTTTGGTTGATTCTGGTATGTGCACTAACTGGTAATTGAACCCACAACTTGGGCATATCAACACACTTTAAGCAACTGAGCTCTTGGCCAGTGCTGTTGTGTTTATTTTGAGGTTAGCACTTTCAATGTTTTCACTCTTTTGGGTCCTGTAATTTCTCACGTCTCTCTGGTATTTCTTTTCAATATAACTGGTCCTCTTTGTCACCATTGCTACCTGAGTAAAGAAAGGTCTTTTGACTCAGACATATCTAAGTCTAAATTTTGATAATTTCCTGTGGATCTTGGGCAAATTATTTAAGCTCCTTGAAAGTTTCTTCCTCTGTAAAATGGTAATGACTTTACCTAAATCATGGAGTTATTTTTTGGGGATTAAATTAAATTATTATATGCACAATCTCCTTATGTTTCCCCTTTTTCCCCTTTTTAATTCAATTTACTGGTGTTATGTCAATTAATAAAATTACCCGGGTTTCAGATGTATAATATTATAATATACCATCTGTATTTGTACTGTGTTCACCACCCCAAGTAAAGTCTCCTTCCATTACCATTTATCCCATGTACCCTCTCCTACCCACCTACCCCTCCACAGGGAGCCATAAGGAAAAAGTCCAGTCTCACTTCCTGGTCAGTCCCACTTCCTTGTTGAGCAAGAGCTCCAGAGATGCCCTGAGCCATAAGGAAAAAGTCCGGTATCACTTTCTGGTCAGTTCCACTTCCTGGAGCGCCAAAAAAGCCCGCAAGCGCACGAGGACTACAACCCTCTCACCTTAGAACAACCAACTAAGTACGAGTACCCAGCACCCAGCCAATCACCTTGCAACAACTCCTTCTCCTGCCCCTCCCCTCCCCTCCTGAGCGCTTATATATAAATGTTCTTGAATAAAAATTTCGAGGCTTGATCAGAACCCTGTCTTGCCTCGGTTCTTCGCATTCCTTGTTTGCTTCATCCTCTTAGGTGGTCTCCACGTGCCCTCGTTGTTGCCCTGCGGGTCGGGGCACCCCTCCCAACACACACACACTTTCTCATAATCACAATACTGTTGTCTGTGTCCATGATTTGTTTTTGTTTTTGTTTTTGTTTTGTTTTTTTATTAACCCCATCTCTTTTTTTCACCCAGCCCTATAACCCCCTCCCCTGTGAGAGCTGTCAATCTGTTCTATTTCTGTGAGTCTGTATATGTTTTGTTTGCTAGCTTATTTTATTCATTAGACTCCTCAAGAGTGAAATAATGTTGTTTGTCTTTCTCTGGCCGTCTTATTTCACTTAGCATAATATTCTTCAGGTCCCTCCGGGCTGGCGAAAAGGGTAAGAGTTCCTTCTCTTTTACAGGCTCGTAGTATTGTACTGTGTAAATGTACCACAGGTTTTTATCCACTCATGATGGGTACTTGGACAGCTTTCAAATCTTGGCTATTGTAAGAAGCACCACAATGAACATAGGGGTGCATATAGTCTTTTAAATTAGTGCTTTGGTGTGTGTTTGTTTGTTTGTTTTTTGCATATATTCCAAGAAGTGGAATTCCTGGGTCATATTGTTTTGTTTTGTTTTGTTTTTAATGTTTTTTTTAAAATGTTTTTATGGATTTTAGAGAGAGAGAAAGGAAGGAAGAAGGAGAGAGAAATATCAATTGGTTACTTGCTGTATGCCCCCTACTGGGAATCAAGCCACAACCTGGACATGTACTCTAACCAAGAATCAAACCAGTGATTTCTTGGTGCATGGGAAGATGTTCATTAAATTGAGCCACACCAGCCAGGGTCATTTTTCAGTTTTTGAGGTAACTCCATACTGCTTTCTTTTTCTTTAAAATATATTTTATTGAGTTATTACAGAGAGGAAGGGAGAAGGATAGACGGCTAGGAACGTCAGTGAGAGAGAAACATCGAGCAGCTGCCTCCTGCACACATCCCACCGGGCATGTGCCTGCAACCAATGTACATGCCCTTGACCGGAATCCACTGAGCCAAACCGATTTCGGCCATATTTCTTTCTGCATAAACTGCACCAATCTGTACTCCCACCAACAGTATTTGAGGGTTCCCTTTTCTCCACATCCTTGCTGACACTTGCTCTTTGTTGATTGGTCATATCCATTCTGAAAGTTTAAGATAATATCTGATTGTGGTTTTACTTTTTATTTTTCTGATTAGTGACATGGAGCATCTAATCATTATCTATTGGCCATTAGTATATCCTCTTTGGAGAAATGTCTATTCAGGACCCTTGCCCATTATTTATTTATTTGTTTATTATTATTTTTTAAAATATATTTTATTGATTTTCCACAGAGAGGAAGGGAGTAGGATAGAGAGCTAGAAACGTCAGTGAGAGAGAAACATCAACCAGCTGCCTCCTGCACACACCCCACCAGGGATGTGCCCGCAACCAATGTACATGCCCTTAACCAGAATTGAACCTGGGACCTTTCAGTCCACAGACCGACGCTCTATCCACTGAGCCAAATGGTTTCAGCAGGACCCTTGCCCATTTTTAATTGGGTTGTTGTTAGTTAATGTTGAGTGTTATCAGTTCTTTATAGATTTTGGATATTAACCCTTACCAGATGTATTATTGGTGAATATGTTTTTCCATTCAGTGGGCTGTCTGTTCATTTTATTGGTGGTTGCCTTTGCTGTGCAAAAACATTTTACTTTGATGTAGTCCCATTTATTTATTTTTTTCACCCCTTTGCTTGAGGTGATATATCAGAAAAAATACATCTATGAGAAATGAGATTTTACTGCCTACATTTTATTCTACAATTTTTATGGTTCTGAGACTAACATTTAAATCCTTAATTCATTTTGAGTTTATTCTTATACTAGAAGCCCGATGCATTAAATTTGTGCAAGGGACTGGGTCCTCGCAGGTGCAGCAGCTTGCCTACCCTGGCTTCATCTGGAAGGTCATTTGGCTGTCTGGTCTAATTAGCATATTACTATTATGTTTTTATTATTATAGATATGGTGTAAGAAGGTGCTGCTTTTGTATTTTTTATTGCCCATATCTATCCAATTTTTTCAACACTATTTATTAGACTATCTTTACACCATTGCATGTTATATATCCTCTATCAAATATTAATTGGTCATAAATGTGTGGGTTTATATTTTGGCTTTCTATTCTGTTCTATTAACCTATATATATGGTTTATGACAATGCCATGCTGTTTTGATTACAATGACCTTGCAGTATGGTCTTTTATCAAGTAGTGTGATTCCTCCAACTTTGTTCTTCTTTCCGAAGATTGCTGTGACTAATCAGAGTCTTTAGTGCTTCCATATACATTTTTGAAATATCTGTTATAGTTCCATGAAATATATCATTGGTATCCTGATAGGAATGGTTTTAAATCCATAGATTGCTTAGTGTACTCTAGACATTTTTATGATTTTAAGTTTTCCTATCCATGAACACAGTATATGCTTTCATTATTTGTATCTTTGGTTTCTTTCTTTATTGTCTTATAATTTTCTGAGTATAGGTCTTTTACATCCTTGGTTAAATTTATTCCTAGGTATTTATTTTTTGATGCAATTGTA